TTTTTAATGTTCCATAACTCCATAAATCACTAGCACAGTAGCTATACCTTTGAAACGGATTGCGATAGAATATAAAATTAGATAATTAAACCACAGGTTAAACATCATTATCCGACCAAAATAAGTCGACATGTCTCAATTTGGCGTTTTCTCTTCTGTCTTTGTCAATTTGCTTTAGGCCGTCAAAGGCTTAAACCAAGTCCTGATTTTATAATAAAACGGTATAAGAATAATTTAATAATTGGATAGGAAAAGCGCCATCTGTCGACAGTGACAACTGATGGAACCGTGACATTCTACCTTAACCACATCGAATGTTTCATTTCTTTTGTTCGTCGGTTAAATTAATATAACCCGTGCATTTTCCTGTCCCGAGCTACAGGGTCAGAGCCTTGCCGAAAATTAAAACTGAAGGTTAATTGTGGACATTACATACTAGGTAGGCCCCGCAGATTTATCAAAAAAATTTCGTTACTTGTTCATAATTCAGCTTTATATTGGCAAAAGAATTTTCAAAATCAGTACAGTAGTTTTTGAGTTTCTCTACTTATAAACAAACAAACAAAGACTGTAATCAAAATATTTGCACTTTATATTATAAGGGTGGTGTGGATGAGAGTCTAACTCCAAATTTTACGACGGCAAATTATCATCATCTTCATCACCACTACTGGACTACAGGTCTACCGACGGATCAGGTGAACTAGTGGGGTTATTGCATAGAGTTTTGAATTTCACAAGTGCTTGTAAAAGCCTAGACTGAACAAATTGTTTTGATTAGATTTACTCATTAAACCATGCTGATCAAATACTACGTCCTTTGAAGAAATCTACATGCTTATACTTAATTTTCAAGCTTTTCGCGTACAAGCGAGATTTCGAGGGAGACTAGCTCGTATTTTACTTTAAGGTTGTATTTATAAATAATTTAATATTACTGATTTTCTTTAGAGGTCACCTTAATAGATTTTAACATCTGCTAATTATCTGTAAATTAATTATTAGTATAACGCAACGTAACAACGCAACTTTGCTGATACAGAAAGCCAAAATTAACGTTTACACCCAAAAATTATTTCGCAGTAACCTTCGTTTTATTAAAAATAATACAAACGAGGTTACTGTTATGTCTAAGTTTATTAACTTAACTGAATTGTCTGATCTCATTGACCATCAACTGTTTCTTATCAGAATCTTATACTTTGTCAGATTTTTAATTTGAACTGTAGCTTACTGTAGTGATATACTAATAAAAAAAAAATGAAAACGTGAATTCCTAACATTCTGACTTCAACACCTTTTTCTGGTAGAATGGCAAAGAATGCCTTTGGCATAAAGTCCGCCTTTTGTGTTAAAATGCAATAAAGAATAAATAAATAAATTTAACTCAAAATACCATTCAAACAATATCACAACTAATCGAGCTACTTATTCCTAATTGACTGGCTGTCTTCCCGCGACTTTATCTGCGTAAATTATAACCTGTCACTCACGTAAACAAATAAACAAACAAATCTTTCCTCTTTATAAATTAGTATAGATGATAACACCAGAAAGGTCAATGCACGTTTGATATTGTAGGTATGTTTCTATTATTTATTATCATCACAGCGGTTAAGTAATATTTACTTACGTTCGGCAGCTGTGTGCCACTGTATTATATTAACCTAACAATTTTCCATTTATTTTCCATTCAGCCGTATCTAATTGTAATCTCAATGATTCCTTCGTGTTCTCAAACGGTAATTAAAACTTAATTATGACTGCCGATGACATCATTTGTAATTAACTTAAATCCACTCTGTGATACTGGAAGGCAGAAGGATGGAAGAGTCCATGGGAATAAAAGTACAGGTTTTCAAGGATGTAATGACCTTGTATGAGTCATAGGAGAAACCAGTTATGAATTTGAGTCGGCGTGCAGCATCAGCTTATGTTCAGTTTTTGTTTTTTATTGACAAACTTTTCTGTGATAAAAATATAGTTGTGTATTTTGTAAGTATAAGTATTATATCAAGATAAGAAAAGATATTTTATAATCTTGTTAAACTTGATTACGCTTTTTAACCTGAGATTGTTATGTTCTTACCATTACAAAAATATAGGTTTAATGTAGAGTTTGAGTAAGTAAATGTTTAAGTCAACTCGAATGTAAACATATTTTATATTTATCTGAAATATATTATACGTCGAATGGCTTAAGAAGTTTTCGAATAAATGCTGGAAATTATCCTTAAGAAACATATAGATTCATGATATTAGCACACTCTGTTATAGATAGTATTTTTTGAAATTTCGTGTAAAGATAATCTATAGAAAATTAAAAGACAAGGAACAGTAACAATCTTGCATCTTATTATTACAAGTAAATGACTATTATTTCCCGATAAAAGATAAAAGCTTTTTCGTTAAATGTGGGTGCATAAACGAACATAAATAAAATCAAAATATTAAAAAAAGTTTTCTACACCCTTATTACATATATTAAGATAAAATATTTCTCTTGATGTTTAAAAAATTTTTGGGCCTCAATTCATAAAAAATGATTGGCTGGAAGAAAGCGATCGCTATTATACACATAGCATGCAATTAAAGCCTGTATTTTTAGAAAGAAAATACAAACTATTTCACTAGAATGTTTTAAAAAAAATATTGCAACAGAATTCTCTAACCGGAATACTTCAATTCGATCATGAATGCGTCGGTAACGGCGAGGCGTATCCGACCGTTCCAATATCAAATACTCAACACTCATTCAATAATGAGCTCTATACCATGCAGACACCGTTACAAATCGTATGAATATCGAAACAATGACAATTTAATATCAATTCACTTGACGCGAATTGTTTTTGTATACCAAGTAGAGCTTAAGACTATACGCACGTATAATTCTATGCGTTTGGTAATGTTTTAAGCGCAATAATATGTATATATCACTAGCTGTTTTTCCATGACTTCGCTCGCGAAAAATATAGTCACCCGTCTGAGTAGGATGTAGCTACACGTCGGTGAAAGAATTTTTAAAATATGCTCCGTAGTTTCGGTGTATATTTGATGCAAACATACAATCAAATCTTTCCCTTGGTAATATTAGTGTATATGATTATTGAGCATATTAACATCTTCACTGCTAGGGCATAGGTCTTCCCTGTAGATGGAATGGTCGTAGTGATGGGAAAACGGATCATAACCCACTGCGCTGATCCAGTATGGATTGATAGGTAAATTGCAGATACAGCAAATAGCTTAAATGTGTCTTCCGATGCACGAAATTTTTGGTCACCAAATCTTAATGCATAGTCTTAATGTCTTTGTCACTCACATAATTTTCAAGTTTTTTGGAACTTCAAATCATGTGTAGCTTAATATTAAGACGTAGGTATATTGCAAATAAAAGTCTCAAACGATAAGTTGTAGGTAAATTGCATGACATTTACCATTTACCATAATTGGGGCGTTTACCGTGATTGGGAATCGCATTTGTATTCATACGGATACAATTTTTGTTTAGAGTAACTGCAGCATATTTGGAATACCAGTTTGTTTTTTGAGAATAAATTTAAATAAAAAAGGGATAGCTCAATAAAAAATACGTTTATTACTTGGAAAACTATTAAACCTTAATATTTATAACTATCATAAAGAACAAAAGTCAAGAACCTTATCAAAAAACAAAAAGAGCTAAAAATTAGAAATTATGTGAAAGGACTTAGAGGGCAGGTAATTTGGAATATAGTATTTTACATTTGGAATATAGTATTCCAAATTATATTCACTTTATATTATATACTGATATATATTATTATCTATATATATTTTAACAATTATATGTTTTATTAACATACTGTTAACACTTGACCTTACAAACTAATAAATTTCTAGTCTTTGTAACAGTTCACGTGTAGTATCCCAAATTAACAACATGCCATCCTAACCTAAAACGGCATATCACATTTTCAATTCTAGAAATATTCACAAAATTAAAGTTAAATTATAAACTAAAAAGGTCACATAACAGTTTGAATAATTACACTAAATATTTTATGTTTGAGAGTAAACAATTATCGTTGTTTGCATACTTACCAAAAAAGTTTTGAAATCTGTCGTTTTGTTTCGTGGGAGCTGGTAGCCGGAATGGTAAAATGGTGTCCTGTTTTTAATGCTATATGTAGTAGTGCGCCTTACGACGTTATGTTCACGGTAAAAAAACATAGATGCTGTTAATATTTATTTAGATATCGAAGTATTCCAAATTACCTGCAGTATTCCAAATATGCTGCAGTTCCTCTACTTAAAAGGAAAAAAAAACCACTTAAAAAGTAGATTAAGAATCTTTTTTAAATTTATTTATTTTCTAATCTTATTCGTTATGTTTTAATTTCATAAACCTAACAGATCCATATACCTAAGTCAATTCAGCTTAGTTTTAAAAGTCTTGCTGTATGAGTCTCTCTTTAATCAACATAGGTAAATTTAACAATTGATCGATTACAAATGAATTTATTTTAAAAATAATCCGCGAAATGCTTATAATAACAAACTTAATGTCAACAATAACATCGGATGTAAACACGACAACTCAAACAAAACATGCCACTTGATAACTACATGTTTGTTCCAATCAAAAGCTTGTAGACCGCGGGTCTGCGCTCGGCCTCACGGTTCGCGCGTTCAAGGGCATTCACCCGCACCCGATTGATACCAAAACTGGTCCAAGGCGTTTATGGATTTCGTATTGTAATTAACGTAATATCGATTACTTCCGTACAGCGAATTTCCGCGTCAAGTTCTTGTGGGTGATAAAAATACTATGGGGTTTTTACGTTAATATGAATGTACATACTGCTAAGTTTTTTAAAATATAATTTTTATTTAACTGAGATGATTTTTGGAAATTGGAACCTTTTCCGGTCTTTACAAATAATAAATCGTCAATTGCAACATATAAGTAAATGAAAGTAAATCATTTTTTAATTCAAGACTTTACATCTTTCCAGAACTGAAAATGGGGAGGATAAAGTTGTTCATTATACTCCAGCTGGTCTATCTGAGCAGCTGCATGGACCAGCTCCACATAGTCTACGAGTGGAAGCAGCTCGACTACCAGTTCCCTAGTGAAGAGGCTAGAAAGCAGGCCCTAGAGTCCAAGAGTTTTATCCCGGAGAACAATATACCGATGGGCCTGGAGGTTTATGAGGACAGACTGTTTATAACGGTGCCCAGGTGGAGGAACGGGGTGCCCTCCAGTTTGAATTATGTCAACATGAAAGGTATGTGTCAAAAATGCAATAACATACTGCTGATATCGGATTCTGGAATTTTCTTATAAAATCTTTTTAAGCGATGTTTTTGACCTCGGCCCTCTTTTTGGCCATTTAGAACTTTAAAACGTTCTAACTAATGCATAGACATATATATAAATTTACCGTAAAACCGCTTTAAAAATGTTTCATTATGGCGAAACTGCCTTAACAGCTATGATGTATCTATCAAAGTTCACACATCGTCGCAATTCTTAATGGTGAAAACTCTCAAAAGTCTCAAAATTATCTCATAATCTTAAAATGATCAAAAACCGGGTCATCTGCCCTACCGACATAGGGCAGATGCAGGCAGAGGATGCAGAAAAGGTTTCTTAATTTAAATGTAAATCTAAAAAATAAAGTATGAAATTTTGGCGTCAAATCACAAAATTCTCCACAACTTTCGTTATATAAAGAGAAACTAAATATAGTTAAACTAAATAAAATAAAGTTGATTGCTTATATTTTCACACACACTATCCATAAATGAAACAGCTTTAAAACGGTTTCATTGCGTTCAGCCTATGTCTATCGCACATGATGTGGCTTCCCATTAGTAAGTGAATTTTAAAAATCGGTGCAGTTGTTTTGGCGCCTATTCGACTCAAACAAACAAACAAAACTTCCCTCTTAAATTATCATTATATTAATTAACTGACGTCAAAATCGAAAAGTAGTTTTTTTTATATTTGTCACCGATAATTCCGCCAATTGATTATCGATTTTGAAAATTCTTATTTATTCGACAGCTTAATAGACCGAGGTAGTCCCACTTAAATTTTATCGAAATCGAATCAGCAGTTTTCCTTTTATAGCAAAACGGGATTCGCTTTTTAATTATATAAGCATTTAGATGATATGTATTGTACGAGGGTCAAACTGAAAGTTCTTAGAAAATCAAAAACTGATTACATTAGCCAGTTATTAGTTTTATTATATCTTTTCAAAATATTGTCCATTCACGTCAATACACCGCTGCATGCGATGGAACCACTGGGAAAAGCACTTTGCCCACTCGTCCTTAGGGGTCTCTTCAATGGCATCGCGATACGCAGCCACCGCTTCTTCAGCATTCATAAACCGCTTTCCTTTAAGTTTTTCTTTAATTTTTGGAAATAAATAAAAATCACAAGGCGCGAGGTCGGGGCTATACGGCGGGTGACCCAGTAATTCAACGTTTGATGTCGCCAAATAGTCGATCGTTCGCTTGGCGGTGTGCGACGAGGCGTTGTCGTGGTGAAGGAGGATCCTACTGCGAGGTCGTTTCTCTCGAACTTTTTCCAAGACAAGTGGCAAACAATTGGTAGTGTACCATTCTGCAGAAACTGTTTTTTGATCCTCTAACACAATTGTTGCAAAATGACCTATCCTTCCAAAGAACGAGGCCACCATTTTTTTTCCCGCACTTCGATCTCTCTTCACTTTAGTTGGCAACTCCTCGAAAGGAAACACCCACTGAGCAGATTGTCTTTTAGTTTTAGGATCATAACAGTAAATCCAGCTTTCGTCACCTGTTAGTATGTCGAACACAGCATTTGAGTCACCTCCGTTAAATCTTTCAATCATTTTACGACACCAATCCACACGATGGAGTTTTTGAGCCTCAGTCAAATTATGAGGTATCCACCGGGCGCAAAGCTTCCTGACCGCTAAATGTTCGTGGAGGATTTTGTGCACTTGACTCATACCGATGCCTAAGCTTGTCCGAATCTGTTGATAGGTCACTCTTTTGTCAGTCTCTATCATACGCCGCACAACACAGATGTTATCTTCAGTCGTCGCCGTAGAAGGCCGTCCCTCACGTAAATCATCAGTGAGATTAGTGCGACCACGTTTAAACTCATTAAACCAGTTGTAAACAGTCGCACGAGATGGGGCTTCATCGTGAAAGGCCAATCGTAGTCTATCATAACTTTCTTGTTGACTTAAATGACATCGAAAGTCATAAAAAATCATTGCACGAAAATTTTCTCGTGTTAAATTCATGATGACGTGACACAGACAATTTTCAATTTGCCGCCAAATCGTAAAACAAATGACAAATGAATGAAATATATACTCAGTAATATTGGCAAAGAGTTATATTTTCAAATTTTAGAATTATTTTTTTATTATATTGTTTATAAGTGGCCCGTTCTAAGAACTTTCAGTTTGACCCTCGTATTTATATGTTTGATATAATACAAAAGATTGCGTATTTTGAATTCATACAAAATCCGAAAGGAGGATTTGTATGCTCAAGGAGTATGTATATTATTTTTTAAGAAATTATGTCAATCGATTTCTTCTTGAATTGTGAACCAGTTTATTTAATAAGTCGCTTTTGAGATAAGTATTTTTTTACCATTTTTGTAAAGTTTAAAGTTGGTTCTAATTTTTATTAGTTTCTAAGTATAGATAGATGACTTGAAATATAAATATTTACCATTGACATTAGACATCATCGACTAGTTTTCCGCGAAATAGCGTTCGTAATTGTGGCCTGCCTGTGACGTAACTTCCCGTAGGTGAAAGATTTTTTTTAATCGGTCCTGTTGTTTACGAGCCTATTCAGTGCAAACTAACGATCAATCGTATAGATATAACATTTTGTATAGTGTTGGAAAAGGCAGCAAAGGCACAATGATTTACGAAATCGTACACAAATCTCAAAATTTCACTTCAGTCAATATATTTTACGAGTCAACAGTGGTGAAAGTCCCCATTTCTATTTGTACACACGGCACCATATCTCAGGTGACAATATGTTAAAGAACCATGTATCTAAAATCACTAAATTTCAAATTTTACGTAGAAATAACCTCCTAATAATTTATAATTTTTATCACAATCGAACTTGATTTTATTAAATTACTTTTTGGTAAGATTAGGAATAATCGTTAATTATTTAAATCAATTTAGAGACGAGGATTTGGAGTGCTTTTATAATAAACGTAATGGTTTACGAGTAATTAATTAACAATAGGGGCTTGATGCCGCAGTGGAAGTTAATCCACTTCCACAAGGGCTGGTCTTGGGATAGATGACCAAAAATGTATTATCAGGAGCTCTTCCTTGCAATGGAAGGCAAATTTTTAGCTACTGATCCTATCTACATAGCATCATCTCTAGGTGGGGGGTTATGGCCTAATCTCCCATTCGATTCCATCTAAATTCCATCCATAGGGTAGGCTCCAGTAGCGAGGACATTTATAAACTGAAGATATCGAATATCCACCATCCTCTGTCTTTATCTATCTAGTTGGTGCTTTGGTGTTGTGTCATTTTCTCTTTTGTCTTTAACTTAAATGTTTGTGTAATCTGACACGTTGTTGTTTGTATATACGTTGTCTACATTTTTTTTATTCTAATGTTTCAAGTAAATTAAGTATAGATCTAAGTAGTTGAATATTTGTATAAAATCTTCGACCACAATTAATGCGTTTTACTTTGATGGAAGCTTAAAGTTTTTGTTTTTAATCCGGGCAACATGGAATCATGAAAAAACAAAAACTTTGGACGCAATGATACATTTTCTATAAGAGCCTAAAATTTGCAAAAAGGTATTCTACAAGTGCAGTAAGAACTACGGTATCATTACATAAAGAAATCATATAAGTAATAAAAGCTTAAATTAATGTTAAATATCACACGTAATTTGAGCGTTTTCCTTAAAACGTTTTCAATGAGATCATTACAGTTATGAGTCATACAGTGAATCAGAAAAAACAGTGCAAATGATGCTATTTCGAGAAAATACATTAGGATCAAATTATCGTATATAGGATTTCTTTCATAGTTATATTTCATCGATTCTTCAATATATTATTATATTATTATAAATCATATCTTGTAGTTAAGTTACGTTATTTTGTTTAACATACGCCTATACAATTTGACCTCAATGCAATGGCACGATCTCTAAACACCATAATGTTTACAGAACAAATGTCAATAGTTGAACTATCAACTAACATAATTAAAACTTAAATTATAAAGAGGTTAAGTAATTGTTTATTTTATTTTCAGATAATACTACTACATCACCGAAGCTGATACCGTATCCAAGTTGGGCCGCGCACTCCACCGGTCAAGATGGAAAACCTTCAGAGATAATATCGCCATTCCGAGTACGTGCTGATAAGTGTGGCCGCCTATGGGTCTTGGACAATGGCAAGATCGGCAATCTAGAAAACAACACAGTGAAATACCCACCCGCAATCATCATATACGACTTAAAAACTGACAATCTCATCAGAAAATACGTGTTTCCCGAAGACCAAGTCAAAGAAGACTCTGGTTTCGCTAACATAGCCGTAGAAGACATGGATTGCGCCAACACTTACGCTTACGCAGGCGATCTGGGAAAACCAGGGATTGTAGTATATTCCTTTGATAAAAACGAATCTTGGAGAATAACACATCACTTTTTCCACCCAGATCCTTTGGCTTGTGACTTTAGTGTTAAAGGGAACAACTTCAGCTGGACTGATGCCATCTTCGGCATTGGTATTTCTGCACCGAACCCTGACAACTTCAGTACCCTTTACTTCCACCCTATGTCTAGCTACAATGAATTCGCTGTCTCCACAGAGTATTTAAGGAATCAATCTATTGCCGATGATAACTTTGAAGCGTTCAAAGTTTTGGGCAGCCGTGGCCCTAACGCTCAATCTAGTGTTTCTTTCGTAGATCCCAAAACTGGCGTTCTTTTCTATTCTCTTGTCAATCTAAACGCTGTTGCTTGCTGGAGAACATCCAATAAGGATTACAAAATGAAGAATCAAGGTAGAATTTATATGAACGAAGAAACAATGGTTTACCCGACAGATATTAAAGTGGATTACGACGACAATCTATGGATCTTATCAAACCGAATGCCTATATGGATGTATGGCAAACTGAACCAAAGCGACATTAATTTTAGAGTGTTCTCAGCACCTGTTTTAGACGCGATCAGTCACACTGCATGTGACGTTACAGCAAGATCTGATATACTTGACAAATATAAGAATAAGTTCCTGAACATCACCAACAAGATTGCTTCTAAGTTCCAACCGAGTGCTGGCGCTTCTATCTCACCTGTAACTTTTGCTGCGATATTGTGCAGCTGGTTAATAGCCTCCATATTACTTTAAGAACGTTTATCGTTTAAACAAAAGTTGTGTTGTTTATTATTAAGTGATGTCAAAGACGTTACCGCTTTATTTATTGTGATTCAAAGCCATTGTTGGTCTTGTACTTAAATAGTATAGTGCCTTCAAAAGTGATATTGTATTATGTAGATTATCTACTAAGTATTATGTGTTACTTTGTAAATATTTAACTTAGTTTTTAATTAAATATTGTATTTAAGCTTTTATTGACTTTCAATGCAAGAGCAGAGGTAAAAACAAAAGAATGCAATGGCGAAGTGATGAATATACCTGCGATACGTGTGCTTATAGTTTTAATGGTAATTAAACAAGTTTCCAAAATATTTTGCAAAACTATTTTTACATATTGAGTCTGCTTTATTTCAAAATGTGAAATATGATTTTCTTGGAATGGTCTTCTAAGATAATATGAAGAAATAAACGGAGAAAACTTATGAAAGCTGATGAGCAATGACAATATGAGCGATTTTGAATCGAAATCTCCATATTGAAATTTAATATGGAGGGTAAGTGGCCACGTAGCCAATTTAAAACCAGTTAAAGAGTGAAGGTGCTGTGATCGTGGTGTTTGCAGCGCCGAAATATCGGGAACTCGAGAAATATAAAGTACATGGTAGCAATCCCGTATTAAACAATCATTTTAATGTTAGTGACCAAAGTAATGTTAAAACAATGGGGTGGTAATCAGGTAATCGGTGTTTCTACCATCCACCACCACCAGCCCTTTTACGTCCCCACTGCAGGGGGTCAGGCCTTCCTTATGGATGGTTAAGGAGGATGAGCCATGACCCTCCACGCTGGCCCAATGCGGATTGGAGGGTATTAACGACTGCAAATGCAGCCGGGACCAACGGCTTAACGTGCCTTCCGAAGCAAGGAGTAGCTCGAGATAATAATTTTTTGGTCACCCATCCCGTGACCGACCCTTGCGAATGTTGCTTAACGACAACGATCGCGGGCCGCGGCGCTTATCCACTACGCCACCGTGCTACTACTTTATACAATCATATATTGTATAAACACCGATTATCTGATGTACGTATTTTCTACTGTAACAGGCACCTACACTTGATTACATTTTGGTCACTGTCACCACAAATAATTTTATCTTATGGCAAGTTCCCATACAAGAATCCAAATAAAAGACTCAAAAAAGCAATGATAAGCTCTAGAAGTTAATATTTTGCGGTTGTACGAAAAATTACGTTTAAAGGACACGGCCTGATCCTGAATCAATTAAATTGTACAGTAATTATCAATATGTAATTTGATTCTGAATAGAATCCCAAAATAAAACTGAATAAAAGCTCTTATATGTCCAGCGTAATAATTATGAAGCAAAGTAGCGCTCTCTTTCGAGAACTCTATTGAAAAGTGTAAAAAGCTTTTCAAGCTTTTAAAAGCATCATGCGCGTTTGATCACGAGTTTTATTCGTGTTACGGTAGATGGTGTTAGTAGAAATCCTATGTGAAACTATTAACGTTAAAAATGTTTTTTTTTTATTATTATTTTTTAAATTTAGAATTTCAATTATTCGTCGTAATATGAATAAATGTTTTTGCGACATCCGAAGCTAGCCAGAATCCCTATTACTGTTAATACTTTGGTATTTAATATAGTTTGGACATACTGTTAAAGGTATGACCAAACCTTTTTTTAAAAAAAAAAGACCATAGTTGCGTAGGCGACTACATACGATTAGGTTAATTAATTGATTCCCAATTGGCCTAAACGAACTGCTAATATTGTCTTAATTCAAATATCAATTTTCAATTAGTTTTTAACCGACTTCATAGTCTAAAAGGAGGAGGTATGTATGTTCACCGATTTTACCGCGAATTGTAGACCGATTTTTTTTTTTTTAATAGACAGCTTTGTGGCCCAATGTGGGCCCAATAAAATTTTATCGAAATCAAATCAGTAGTTCTCTTTTTATTACAAAACAAAATATGCTTTTCATCAAATATCACCAAAATCAAAAAACAAAATATTGCATATGCAAAATACATAATTCATTAAAAATACGAAAGAAGGATTTTCTATGGTTTACAGATATATATTTTTAGTAATATATATTTTTTTGTGTATTTATTTTTATGTCGATTTCTTTTTTAATTATGAATCAGTTTATATTAATCTAGCTGTTTCCCCGCGACTTCGCCTACACAAATTATAGCTTATGTTCCTTGCGTATTATGGAGCTTCCCGTAGTGAATGAATTTTAATCCAATGGTTTCGCAGTCTATCCAATGGAACACAGGCAATCAAATCTTTCCTCTTCTAAGAATTACACTATGTCACACTGTGTTTACATATTTTTATCGGATGGCTTTCGTTTATTTAATAACCTACAGAAACCACGCGAGTTTAATAGCACTTTCTTGCATAAGTCGCTTTTAAGATAAGTAGTTTGAAGCCGATTCTATTTTTTTAAAAGTTGTTTAAAAAATAACATCATATAAGCATGATATAAGTATCTACATATACTAATATTATAAAGCTGAAGAGTTTGTTTGTTTAAACGAGCTAATCTCAGGAACTACTGGTTCAAACTGAAAAAATATTTTTATGTCGAATAGACCATTTATCGAGGAAGGATTTAGGCTATATAACATCACGCTGCAACTATAAGGAGCGAAGAGATAATGGAAAACGCGGACGAAGTCGCTGGCGGCCACTAGTAAAAAAATAAAAAGGGTTTCTGTGCCATCAGTTATAAAAAACGGCAACAAACCCGTTTGTTGTATGGAACCTCAAAAAAGCTTGTTGGTGTATCTACATTTTGTGTTTCGATTTTATTGAAGATGAAAATTTGTGCTATTATATCTCTTTTCACTCGTAACTCTTTATTGAGATTTTTTGAAAGTCTGTTTATTATTTTGTTTAAATTGTTTTTTTAATAGCCAAATTAAATCAAAGAACTCTTAATTATATTTAAAAGTTTTTATAATAATTAATTTATTAGTGACGACAGTTATTGTAAAAATATGAAAAAATATGACTAATGAAACTAACGATGATGAAAATTAATGAAATGAAAAGACGGTACACACATCAATTACAAGCGAATCCGGGACTGGTCATTAGTTTATAGCACATATAAAAGATAAAAAGACATTTAGATAAACGGAGAATAGTGGTTGTATATATTTTAACCTTTAATATAGTCAAGGCCTGTTAAGGGGAGACTAGCCGAGCAAGTGACAAAACTAAGGGCGCCAGATTCTATAGTGGTCTTCAATATTCCCTGCAGTGAGTAAGGTGTATACTTATATAACATTACCATTTTTATATTAGTTCAGAAGTCCCAGTAGTATAAGTAGGTACTGTGAATATTATTTAGTTTTCCAACTGTATCACATATTTAACTGTATAACTGTATCATTATTTTAAAAAGCTAATGATTTGTAGGAGGCGAAGAGCATAATCGTTGCTTAGCAGTGCTTTTCTGTTATAAAAACAGCCTAGAAATCGACGTTGAGCACAGCGCTGTGATAGCATAGTGCTTAAATGAAATAAAACCTTTACCTTTTGAAGTAGATTTTATTTGATTAAGAGTTCCGTACTATAAAGACAGACGAACGGACAATTTCGATATTTTGCCAGATTGCAGTCCAATCGATTCTAATGTGGGGTTAGATCCGGTGAGTTTCTCGCTGGATCCCGGATTTTCACCCCCCACTGCTGAGGGACCTGGTTTAAGATAGTAAATCCGCTACAGTCATTGGTGAATTTGAGACTGTTTTTGTTTTTTACCAAATAGCATAGCTGAGTAGCTAAATGGTTAGTTAGATCAGGCCTTAAATACACAAAAAGTGGTCAAATACAAATTACATAATAAATTATATGTATAATGCGACGTCTAATTTGCCTGATAACTAGATAAGTGAAATGTGGATGTAATAAACAATGACCGCGGCAATTTTTCGTCAATATATTGTAAGTACTTTTGTGTAGACTATTGACAGAATATGTTGTGTTGACAAGATGTTCAGATATTAAGAAAGAAAATGAGCGACAAATTAAATGATACCGTAAGTTATTTCTCGTGGCATTTTACGATTATCAATTATCGTTACACAAATACTTGTTTAATAAAATGACTCCAAGGCGTAAGATATTTTTTAAAGTTCGTAATGAACTCTAATATTTACTTTTTTTTTGGAATATAGTCATCATCAGCCCTTTTACGTCCCCACTGCAGGGGCTCAGGCCTTTCTTATGGATGGTTAAGGAGGATGGGTCATGACCCTCCACGCTGGCCCAATGTGGATTGGAGGGTATTAACGACTGCAAATACAGCCGGGACCAACGGCTTAACTTGCCTTCCGAAGCACGTAGTAGCTCTAGACAAAAATTTTTTGGTCACCCATCCCGTGACCGACCCTTGCGAAAGTTGCTTAACAACATCAATCGCGGGCCGCGGCGCTTATCTACTACGCCACCGAGCTACTCTAATATAATAATATATACGAGGAATATAGTAATATAATAATTTGTCCATAAATGTGAATGTAACTATGTTTTTACAACTTTTCACAGTTTGATAACGAAGCAGTTTAACTTTAGTGAAAGGACATAGGACTACTTCTTTTACCAAAATATAAAAAAAATACAGTCTACTACTTTCCCAAAATATAAAAAATACAGTCTAAACTTATTGGAACAAATCATAGCAAAAGTCGGTATTTGATTATAAAAATGTATTTACAGGTCGAAGAACCATTAACTACATTTAAGGAGAAATGCAAGAACTGTTTCAAAGGACCAAACTTGATCAAGACAATTGTCGTAGCGGTCTGCTTCTCACTAGTCATATATCAGGTTAATGCATTATATTATTAAATTCAGATAAAAACTTATTTTTGACCACGCTCAGTCAAACTATTCAAGCGAAGACCAATCGTCGGCTGGATGACCAAATATTTTTATCTCAAGCTACCTCGCCTCTGTCTGCAACTGCAGACTTTAAGGTCTTCTCACAAGAAAATCTGAACTCTAATAGGGGAGATTAAATCGTCGTTGACTAATTAATTTCAATAGTGCCGGGGTCAGGCCTCACAGAGAATACAACGTATCATGGCAGCATGACATGTTATGCCCGTTTTCTGTGAGCGTGCTTATTGTTGAATATAAATTACTATCTACAGAAAATAAATTAACCACTCATCCGAAGACTAACCTTTGGCAAACTTACTTAAAATTTCTAGTAGACCAAATGCATTAACCACTGCATCATCTAGTTACTCTAAGGTCTCTTTTCAGTAATTAATGAGTAATGTCAGATGTATAAAAACCGGCGAACGTATATGTAAAGAATAATGAAAGTAGAAGATGACCGTGCCTTTTGGCGTTTGGTCCACTTTACCTGCGAAAAATGTAGATAGAAAGATAAATTGGTCGATTTCCTGCTTGAAATCTCCCGTAACTCGTATGCCAATCAAAATGTACCTTTAGACAGGACATATTATTCTACTAATTTATTTTCATCCCATCAATAGATATCAGCGTGCGTAAGGAAATTGATCGAAAAACCAATAACAACGTACACACATTTCGATTTCAATAAAACCATAGCGTATCCTAGTATCACCGTCTGCAGGGAGCCACCGTATAAGTATGACAAAATGTTGGTAAGTTGGTAATAACCATGATGTAATAGATTGATGATTATAGGAATACCTTCTTGTAGATCCGGCTAAGCTTTATTGTGGCCACGAATGTGACGCGGGAGGACGACGAGGAGCTAAAAAAGCCGCAGGAGCACTATCTACAATTTCTCATAGAGCTTCGTCATTTTTTTGACAAAAAAAAATCATGTTAGCATTTATCAACATGACATTATTGTCTTAAAAGTTCTAGATCTTATTTAGAGTTAAGCCTCTTACTCAATATGCCTCTTTTTTAATGTCGAGGAAACGCATTAGGCACTGTCCCTGATACTTGGCAAGCAACAGAGGGTGTGCAGGATTTACACCCGGCAGTGAGCTGCCCAGTGAGTCCCCGGAAGAATACCTAACAAAATCGTATACGTACGTGCACCGTCTTGTGGGAGATGAGTCACGATAAGCCGTGGCTGAATCGCCAGGACGTTCACCCCTTTTTTTAACGCTAGGGTAATGCAATCTAAAGCCTTAAAGCAAGGCTCTCCGACAAATAACATTTTATCTACAGCCGATCTGAACATATCAGCTATATAGGTGCCCACACTACTAATGACGCTACATCGGCTCTTACGAAAATACTTCATTTCAGGAACATGGTCTTTTTGCACATCCTCGCATCACGTCTACATGGGAAACATACAATTTTTCTTATCCGTTAGACCAGCTGTGGAATGAGATCACTTACAACTCCAGCGAGATATTTGCACAATACGGGTTGAATGAATTGATGGAAAGTAAGTTGTAAAGTTCCACGAACAACAATAGAAAGAGTTAGTTAAACCTCGTGATGCTACATCAACATTTGCCTATTTATGTTCTTATTGTAGAAGTACATCTAAATATATATAATTCAAAGGTGACTGACTGACATAGTGATCTATCAACGCATAGCCCAAACCTCTAGACGGATCGGGCTGAAATTTGGCATGCAGGTAGATGTTATGACGTAGGCATCCGCTAAGAAAGGATTTTGATAAATTCTACCTCCAAGGGGAAAAAATAGGGGATAAAACTTTCTATGAAACTTTGTCAATTTTAAACCGATCGGGCTGAGACTTTGCATGCATAAAGCTACTATGACGTAGGCATCTCCTTAGAAAAATTTTGACAAATTCCACCCCTGATAAAATAGGGTGAAACTTTATTTCAGGTATTTTACACGATATGTTGAATAAATATTCGTTAGAAATGCTGCTCAAAGTAACTTTACCACGCGGACAAAGTCGCGGGCAAAAGCTAGTTTTCTATAAATATGAGAATAAAAGAATGACGGGTAATAACCTATCACGAAGGTCCAGTTTTGTTAAAGATAGTAATGACGACAGTTGATAACCGAACAAATACTTTTCTACTACTTCTCAGGGGTTGTCAAAGGTCAACCAAAGATAATTTCAATTGCACAAATGAGATATTCAGCAATTACTTTTGAAATTGTAGGGTGGGTAACAAATATAATCCTCTTCTGAAAAAAGCAGTTTAGGAGTAATACAAACTCAATCATGTAGCACAATAAATCCCAGAAATATTTGTCTTATATAAACTGTAACAAAAACATAATTGTGATAACACTTAAAGTTGTAAAAGTCGTCCAATATAGTACAAATTATTGGTATGTAATTAATTTGTCATCAGACGTGGAAGTGAAAACTTTCATAGGATTCTTATACGGCCGTTGCTACACGTTGTCTCCTAAGATTCTGCACACCAGAGCCACCAAAGATAGTGGTTATTCCATCACCCTGCAACACAGTGCCGCAGACATAGCTTCCACCATCGGTACTTCCCCTCCAGGGTATCACGTCTACATCCATTACACTAAGGAACCATTTACTGGTAAGAAACAAGGCCGCTAAGGAAGACTCTAAAATCTTCAAAGTAAAAATATCTTGAAAGAATTTTGAATGCGAGATTTAGACTTTTAACTCGGTATATTTGAAACTTTCGATGGAGAGGAGAGAAAACATACGTTAGTTTTTCTAAATTTTAGCAGTTACTTTCAATCGTTTTTATAAAAAGTCAGGATAAGTTTGTAATTGATGAAATGTCTTTATTTCATGTAAAATAGAAGTACCAGTGTACAACGGTGGATTGGTTGATTATTTGCATTGCAAAGTCGGGGAGACGATCGACGTAAAACTCTTAGTCAATCAGTACGTTATGATTAGCAACACCGACGATCCATGTATCAACGATGACGGATACAGTGCTAATAATGTACGTAATGGTTTGCTAAAATTAAGGCATCGCGAAAATTACTTAGAGCGAAACGATAATAGGATCGATGTATGCATGCTAAGGCATATTACCATCTACCTCTGAGGAACAGACAGATCAAACTACAAAATTTTCCATTCATAGTCATAGTAATCAATTATCCATTTGCACTGGATGAGTTTTCAGACTAAAGTCAGGTACTGAAATCAATTTGATGGCTGGGATTTCGAATACTATGAAACCTTTATTAGTTTGGTTAACAGATCTAGTGGAAGATTCTTGTTCATATTAGTTGATGGTCCTCTATGTTAGTTTTAATATAGAGCCTGACCAATTAACAATGCGCTACCTGCATATTTATTCACTTATAGCGACTCTTTTTCTTCATGAGCGCGTACTATTTTAGGTCATATTTTAGTCACCATCAGCTGAGATGATGGCCAAATGCCAACCCAGTTTTAGATAAAGAAAGCTTACTAAAATGTATCTATATTACTTTCCCACATTCACAATATTATGAATTGAAATGTAATGACATGATGGTTGGCAAATCATGCTAATGTTGATGTGTGCTTGTCATAGAAAAAAAAAAGAAAAAGGGATGATAAATTATTTGAATAACTGAAAACGCACTCTTAGGTTTTTACAGACTTTATAAAGCTGATTTCTATGAAACTTTAATATTAATTTTGCAGTGTGCCACTCGGTATGTTTGGAATAGAGTTGGAGAAATTGTTGGTTGTTCAGGACCCTGGATGTTAAACAGTTTGCTGCCTTATTGTAGTAACTCTACAATGATGAGGAAGCTGATAGTCAATTATATAAGGTGAAATTAGTTAAGTAAATAGTTAAGTTCAATTTGTTTGGAAAAGATTAAGTTTAGTTAATGTCCCAACAGCCAGGTTATAATACAGGTTTTGCCTATGGATAGAATTTTTGCCTATGAGTAGCTCGGTGGCGTAGTGGATAAGCGCCGCGGCCCACGATCGTTGTCGTTAAGCAACTTTCGCAAGGGTCGGTCACGGGATGGGTGACCAAAAAATTATTATCTCGAGCTACTCCGTGCTTCGGAAGGCACGTTAAGCCGTTGGTCCCGGCTGCATTTGCAGTCGTTAATACCCTCCAATCCGCATTGGGCTAGCGTGGAGGGTCATGGCCCATCCTCCTTAACCATTCACAAGGAAGGCCTGAGCTCCTGCAGTGGGGACGTAAAAGGGCTGGTAATGATGGTGGGTTTTGACTAACAGCTAGGCCCACTGCAGATTGATATACCCTCTGTACCCATAGACGTAAAGATGAGGTATATTTAAACCCTCAGATATAATCATAGCTCATGTGCCAAAAATTTGCAGTGGGGCCAACTATTGATTATTGACCCGTTGTTCTTTGTGCTTTTATCTACAGGCAAGGTCTGTATTTGTAAATGCAATTTGCAATGCAATTAATAACTTTCGGTCACCTACGCTAAGACTGGCTTTTGCAGAAGTTGTATATATAACCAGTCGCAGGCAAAGCTACTAATCACTTATTTTCATGAACCTGAGAGTGGTGAGTTTTTATGAATTGTCTTCAAGAATTTTATCCATAGGAAAGGCCTCCGTTGCAGTGGCATCGTTAATAGGCCGATGATGAGGCATAAGGCAATTTTTGGTTTATTATCATCAGGTTCACTCAACATCAGAACTACAGTGTCTGCCCTCGGTTCTGTCGCTCGTACATGTACAATGGTTTCGTAAATGACCGTCATACATTCGCTTGGAACACTGCCACCAGACAATGGACAGCTAGGATTGGTGACGCGACTATGCAGACACAGGTAACTTTTATTCAGTTAATTCATGTGTCTTATCAATAAATATTACTAACCAGCCACATATTTTAAATTAGATACAGGTCTTAGTAAACTTTTCTAGTCACAATTTTAAAGATAAAGCAAATTTATAACTCGGCGCTAACCTCCATGCCTTTCTTTTTTGTAAAACGCTGTATAGATATGTTATGATAAACTTGGCATTTCATATTGTTTGGATGTTATTTATTCTTATATTTCAGTTGTTTATTTATTTCAACACAATGATGGTGTCCGTTTACGAAGAGCGTTATAATTATGACTGGAATATTTTCATTTCAGACATTGGAGGGAATGTGGTAAATATAAATAATTTCCAGTACGAAAATCATAGTAATAGAAGGTTATATAGACAACAAGTAGACAACAACGAGTAGCTCGGTGGCGTATTGGATAAGCGCCGCGGCTCGCGATCGTTGTTGTTAAGCAACTTTCGCTATGGTCGGTCACAGGATGGGTGACCAAAAAATTATTATCTCGAGCTTCGGAAGGCACGTTAAGCCGATGGTCCCGGCTGCATTTGCAGTCGTTAATACCCTCCAATCGTCATTGGGCCAGCGTGGAGGGTCATGGCCCACCCTCCTTAGCCATCCATAAGGAAGGCCTGAGCCCCTGCAGTGGGCCGATGATGATGATGATGATAGACAACAAAGCAATAATGCAAGTTTTTTTTACATGTGATCATCATAAAGTTTATTTAGGTAGCTATATATATATACTAATATTATAAAGAGGGAAGATTTGATTGTTTGTTTGTTTGCATCGAATAGGCTTCTAAACTACTGGATCGATTTTTAAAATTCTTTCATCTACGGGTAGCTTCATCATGCGGAGTTAAAATAGGCTATAAATTACGTGAGCGAAATCGTGGGAAAACAGCTAGTATATAACAACAACAGTGCAAGTGTCTTGGTAATTGAATATTTGATTTTATAACGTGAAAACAACTAACAGCACTCTTGCTCTGGAAAGAAAATGGTGAAATCAAATTTGTTTCTCATTTGGGAACCCAAACATGATTTTGTATAACTTTTATTAGTGAAAGAGTTTGGATATTAATCAGCTGATCGAATTGAATATTTGTACAACTCGGATAGTTAATAATAAACAATTCTTGTAATATCTTATCTTCTTTAATAAACTTTTCGGTTACAAACAATCATCCCAAGTCCTCACTCTAGTCCCCAGACTAATTATCTCTGTCAGCCGCTGTCAACATCACAGACTAACACAACAATATTAATGTACGTTTATTTGTTTCCTCCCAATATCTAAGCTAGTTACGCGATTTAACAATTAAAGAATCGATAAAATCGAATTCTTACATCGTCAAGCTACAGGGAATTATCATATTAAACTGGCGCCCTCTAGAGGAGTCAGTTAAAAATTAATATTTTTTCTTTAACTACGCCGTATAAAAGTGTTTATTTAGTTTATATTATTATGAAATTACAATGCTAAAACAATAAGAAAATTATTTCATCGCGGATAGTCGAGAAACGTTTTTTCTACATCTCATTAGATACTATATACTCATAAGTTTAATGTAACGTTACGTAATAATAAATTTTAATGTGAAAATGTTAGCTTAAGTGGTATGCATCTGCATATGAGCAATAAGAAAACAATATCAGTGACTTGTAAAGCGATCATAATATTAATGTAACATTTTTTCCATACACAGGGTTTCCTCCTAGGTCTGTCGGTCATCGGCATAATGTCAATTATGGGAAAATTTTGGTCAACGTTTATCAAGCCGGGGAGCAAAAGCTCAAATAATACAAACACCGATCTGAAAACAGCACTTGATGAGAAAACTTTTCATAACAATGAAGATGCATGCAAAGAAAAGGATGTAAAGAGTATCTTTAAATTAAACTATCGCTAATTTGTTTCGTCACAAATTTAATTTTTATAGATTATTCAAAACTGTAAGCCTAAATATGTTGCAGTTTAAGTACAAAATCATTTGCAGAAATTTAACAATGTAACTAAAATTAGTTCCTATTTCCTTAAGTAACATTGGATTCAAGCAAAATTCACTTACTCCATGGTACATTGGATACCTGATATATTGAATGTGCACACTATACCCAACTATGTTATATTGGACGTTGTGTGCAATGTGCATACTGATTTAATCCTATGTCAAAGAAATTTATCCAAGAGTAGTACGCGGTAGTCTTGCTAGTGTGGTGTTGTATTTACATTATTTGCTATAGATATTTATATATAAGAAATTCAAAATGACTGTAAAATCTTTAATAAGTATTCCTATAGACCACGATCAAGTTTGTTAAGGTTACCTTCTGTTCATCCCTTAAAAAAATCTAATAGTTGTTAAATAAATCTTAAGAGAATTCTATGTGTTTTTATTGCATGTCAAGAAGGTCGTAATTAAAAAAATATCAAACTATCTTTGCTTACATTTATATTTCAATGATGAGTGACAAACACATGGAGTATTTTTATAATGGTGTGTATTGAATCTTTATTTGTAACATTACTAATAAATACATGTGCACATACATTAATACAGCTTTATGACAGTAAATATAAAAAAATAGATTATTCGTTATATTTATCGGTTTAAAATAATTTTATTTCTTCTTCTTCTATGAGTGTCATCTGCTACTGCAGTTTGGCAATCATTATAGCACTTTCCACCTTCGATATTACTTCCCAAAATATCGATTGAGTGCTCCTTCATTCACCATGACACTCTTCTGCTCTCACATCGCTTGATCTTGATTTTTCCATAACCAAAACTTATTTATTACAACTAATTTATCGTTTGCCTAAAATAAAGTTGGGCTTGTGATATTACCTACACAGGATCATAATATTTTAACTAAAGATTTAGGTGCCAGATAACAGTAGGCACAATTTTGTTTTTACTAAATATACTAATAGTTACTAAGCAGAATAAAAGTATTTTGATTTTTGGCGGTAACAATGTATTATACTCGTACAAACGTTACATACGATACTTGTATCTCTACAATGTTCAAGGTTATTTCAGAGAAGCTTGAGAATTTACGTCCAGATATATGTTATTTCTGTCTGATGTCTAACATTGATCTTCAGGATTTACGTTGCAGGTTTTACGTCAGAGATATGGAGGTACGATCGAGCAGTTTATTTTCTAGGTCACTACAGAATTTTGTCGCTTCAAGCGCTAGATTGTTCGACGTTAGTTTGAGCCATTTTATACTTGATTCCTTGAGTTTATTAACATGAATTGAAGGTATAGCGTCTGCGAGAAGTTATAGTTAGAGATTCCCTTTACAGAAAGATATCCACTCAAGGCAGAAAACCATTTCAGCCGTTAGATCCATGCTGCCCGCATCCAGAGGCTTCCCAGGATTTTTATTTGATTGTCGGTCTACTGAGCGTCGTCCAGTAAGTGGTCACCATTCGAGAACTTTTCCACCCCAACAGCCATCAGTTCTTCTCGTCCTGCCTACTGCCACTTCAGTTGGAAATATCGGTGACGTTAGTTCTCTTACGGATATCCTCGTTTCTTATTCGATCACATTGGGAAACACCAAGCATTGCTCTCTCTATTGCCCACTGGGTGACCCTGAGCCTTCTTATGAGGCCCATAGTAAACGACCACGTTTCACTTCCATATCAGTCATCACTGGCAACACACACTGGTCGAAGACTTTTCTCTTGAGAGGTAAATTTCGTAGCTTTCCAAATGCTGTCCTTCTGAACTGGGTTCGTCGAGACATCTCTTCCTCAAAGTATAATATTTGGCATTTACAAAAGAATACTTGATACTGATGTTATTAAACAAAGTTGCTTCCTGCTCTAAGTACGCTGAGACACAACATATTTAATGCGGGTTTTCGTCATACGGAGTAATTCAAGAGAAAGGTTTATATAATACAGTATGAAGTTTTGGGGTAAGGTGAAGAAAATTTCTATAACGTCTGCATTTTTTAGCCTGTACACAACCGCGAGCACACAGAGAAACAGTTTCTCTCTAGTCTCATTATTACCAGTGGCAGTGAGGCCATGTATGAATAATATTATCGTCATCATCATCAATTACTGGGATCATTCCTTGCCTATGGATGGAATCAAATAGGAAGAATCCTAAATACGGAGGAGCTCGAAATAAATAAATGTTGGTCACTGATAATCTTTAACGGCCATTGAGAAAGTTGCTTAACAACCACATTGTAAACCGAGCGCGCTAACTACTGCACCATATATTTGTTAATTAATTTGAAAACTATACATTATAATGAACTAGCTGTTTTCTCGCGACTTCTTCCACGTAAATTATAGCCTATTTCAACCCCGTACGTTGTAGCTACCCTTAGGTGAAAGTATTTTTAAAACCGTACCAGTAGTTTCGGAGCCTATTCGATCAAACAATCGAGTCTTTCCTCTTTATAATAATAGTATAGATTACATAATCTTACCACTTAGATAGTCGATATAAAAGTAATTAATCGATTTCAATAACATTATTTTATTAACTAATGCTATTAATATAGGTTTCTATTTGTGCACTTCAATTGCATCTCTTGGCAATTGAGCGATCGCGTTGCATTTGAACTGACGCATATTCATAAAGAAGATGATGAGTTGACAGACTTAGCGACAAGCTGACGCGATTTTCAGAGCCTAAGAATATTATCAGACGGCTGCACAAAGATGGGAGATACACAAGATTAAGTTATTTGGAAGTGCATAAATTACCCTCTATTAAAAATAATAGACTTCCACATAAGCGAAATCCAACAATAATTAACAAAAAATGGGTTTTTTTTTGATTAAGAGGTATTGAATGTTATTAAAGTTTATAATGTTGCTGTGTAAATAAAGACACAACTATTCTATCTTTATTCAATGTAAATAAAGATAGAATGTATGTGCCATTTCCCCAAATGATCACACCGTAGCAGAGCCATGCATATGCTTACGTGTAGTAGGTTATACAAATCTCTCATATTTGTCCAATTAATTTATACCTTCATGCTTTGAAGGTAGAGTTTAAAAACAACTGGACAAAATTGACACATATGTGTAATGATGTGGTAACCCGACATGCAGCCGTGTGTTCCAAAAGCGGGGAATTCACTATGCGGGCATGTCCGCGGGCAAGTCTGCAAATATGCCTGCCAGACCTCGTTACTATAGTTCTGTGTTATGACTACGACGGTCCTCCACTAGCCAGACATGGCCGCCCGCAGATATGTCTGTAGACATGCTCGTTTAGTGAATACCCCGCTTAAAAGTTTCGCGTCCGCTGCTCTTGTACACTGTGGTGTCAGTTGATTTATTAGTCACTCTCAGTACATGTCGATAAACTAAATTAGTGACATGTGATTTGTTCATCGAGAATGATCTATAACTTACCATCTCAATTATACTTATGTAAGTCAGTATTTTTTTTTTCTAAATTACTACTATTCGATATACAAAATTTAATATGATATCTGGTTGAGTAAACGACGTTTGGAGAAAACAAAGCCTGGTGAGTTAGTTTAACTTTGCAAACTCCTTGATGCTATGTCAAAGAGAGATACATTTCGCTTCTAACATTAAATAAAATAAAATTAAATAATTAAATAAAATTGCATCGCATTACAGAGTTCATTATTAGAGCCGTAAAATACCTATCTGTACCTGAACTTAACCTGAACTTATCCGGACTTATATTGAAAAATGGTAAAGTGCGTTTGTTCTTCACGAATCATGGAGACTGGAAAGAAAGATTTAGAGAAAACATTTATTGGATTTTCGCTTTGACCACAGGCGACGCAAGGGGTAGCAATTAGTTTCATATATTGTAGGTAGATTAAATCGATGGCGTAGTGGTTAGCGTGTTCGGTCTGCGACACGGTTGTTAACTAAGGGCCGATCATAGGATGGGTGAACAAAATCTTGAGCTCCTCCTTGGAAAGGCACGATAAGCTGTAGTCCCAACTGCATCCGCAGTCATTGACGTCCAAAACACTAGGCGCGCATAGTGGGCTTGAACCCCAACAGTGGGGAAATTAATAGACTTATGATGACTATAGAATTAATTGCAATAAGGCAACGTTACTACCACCATCAACCTATGCATGTCCTTATTGCTGAGATTTCCCTATGGATGAAATCACAAAAGAGTCCATACCCAATACGAGGGCTCAATATGAGGGTCGTTTTACTATAATAGATAATTAATATCTGACATAATATGATTCCTGTAATTTATGTTAAACTTTAGTTATTATCGAGTACACTTGGTCAGCGGATAATCAGAACGGTATTATAAATAGCTTGACTGTTTGCGCCTGGGCCATGATTCACGGGAAGCGCGCGCGACGTACGAGTTGTGTCTTCAAAAGCTTCGGCTGTTAACAACGAAGGAAACCCCTCCGCAAATTAGAAGAAATTACAACTCTTTCAAACTGGTGACACTATTTTTACTAAACCTTCAGAACATACTTGGGTTTATATTGAAGAAATGAAAACTACGTTTTGTCTGTCACTTCAGTTTTGAACGTGTATATGCAGTGTAACCGAGGTGAAGATGGAATACAGGAAACTACATAACATTTTATATTACTATATTACAATTGCTTTCGCCAGCGGCTTTGCCTGCTAGGGAAATGTTTACTGAGATAAAAAGTATCCTATTATCGAAGTCAGCTAATACATTATCTGTATACCAAATTTCATCAAAATCCGTTCAGTAGTTTCGATGCAATGGATGTACAAACATCCAAACAAAGAAACTATCACATTTATAATATTATTAGGATAATAGGATTAAATTAGAAACATCGCCCAGATTCCAAGATGAGTATTTAAAGCCTTCGTATTATTTAATGTCTGAGAAAACGAAGGTTACGGTAACACTCAGACCCAAGGCAATATAGA